AGGGGAACCCCTGAGGCCTCTGAGTCACAAAGGAAGATTAGATCATGGCTGAAGGTTGGTTTAATCCCCGAAGTTTCACTCATATTGGACCAGAGAAGCTTCGGTCAAAGGCTTTAACTTCTTTGTTTCCTAACTCCTACCGCTAAGTTACAGTTCTTTCCCGATCTTAAAACTCCATGCCAGTCCTGGCTTGTAACCAAAGTATTGTACATAACCTTACATTTTATCATACAAATGAGGACATGTCAAAAAATGAAATACAGTACTGGGAGGGGGGGGGAGAGACATAAACCACCCAGGGAAACAGTGATGTAAAAACACCATACTTACAACATTTTGAACCCCTTATCTTATAGCAGAACCTATCAAAGGAGAGTCTCGATTTCAACTTGAAAGTCTGTGGAGCTTCTTAGCAAATATAAGGTTTTGTTTTCATTTTAATGAAATGCCTGTGTTTTTATGCATTGTTTACATTGATCCATTATTTATCTTCAAGTGGAAGAACTTTAATTGTCCCTGGCCAAAAAGAGAACAGAAACGGAAGTCACATAGTGAACGTCAAAGATCAGCATGGCCTGTAAATGAAGACATGTAGTATTGCTGAAAGAGAAAAGTGAACTGTGATAGCAGAGGGTACGGAACTCAGGAGTCTGTGTTGTACATCCTACCATAATCATTTTGCAAGAGGAGGTGCAGTTTCAGCAAAATGTCATGCATGACATTAGTGATATTAATTTGCACTTAATTTTATCAACTTTTAAATTATAAATGTGTATTGATTTTTTAGAGCATAAGGATCTTTCTTACGCCAAAATTTATGTTAGTACATATTAAAGAAGCACGATAAAATATTCTGCAGGAATTTTAAAACTTTAAGATTAATCAGTGCAGATTAGAGCAAACTTTAGCTTTCATTCCTTTGTCTTCCTAATACAGCTATGCCCTCTGGTGGTTGTAGTTGCTAACAGAAGTGAAATACTCTATTCCCTTTATAAATGTGTCCTTTCAAAATTCATTTGTAGGTCAGGGTGCAGAAGAAAGAATAATTTCCTCATAGAAACCATGTTACAAATAATGGCAGGTATTGCAAGATAACTCACAGAAACTCCTGTGTCCCTTGATCTAAACCCTCCTTCTCATTCCTCCACAAACCAAACCAATCACCATACCTGCAGTCAGTGCCGCCACCACTACTGCTCTGTTGCCATTACCACCAGAAGTAGAAAGAAGAGGGGAGGGGTTAGTGCTTTGAAATCCAGCACCTTTATTTATAGGCACAACTTGTGCCCTGAAACTCCACACCTCTTCTGGGGCCTTCAAAAGAATAGACCACCTAGAACAGTGGTTCTCAACCTTTCTAATGCTGCGACCCTTTAATACAGGGTCTTATTAGAAACCAGGATTACTTGGAATCATTGTGATTTAATACAGTTCCTCATGTTGTGCTGACCTCCAACCATAAAATTATTTTTGTTGCTACTTCCTAACTAATTTTACTACTGTTATGAATCATAATGTAAATATCTGTGTTTCCAATGGTCTTGGGCTCTACAGCAGTGGTTCTCAACCTGTGGGTCAATATTTACCGCTAGCTAGTAGAGGAGTGGATTAAAAAATTGGTACGAGGTGCCTCATTAGCGCAGTAGGTAGTGCGTCAGTCTCATAAAAAACTGGTACATATGCACAACGGAATACTATGCTCCCATAAAAAAGAAGGAATACTTACTATTTGCAACAGCATAGATGGAACTGGAAACCATTATGCTAAGCTAAATAAACCAGTCAGAGAAAGATAAATGTCACATGTTCTCACTCATTTATGGAATATAATGAATAACATAAACTGATGAACTAAAACAGATCCAGAGACAGAGAAGCATCAATCAGATCATCAAAACTCAGAGGAAAGGTAGGGGAGGGTGGGGGAAAGGGAGAGATCAACCAAAGGACTTGTATGCATGTATATAAGTCTAACCAATGGACACAGATAACAGGGGAGTGAGGGCATGAGTGGTTGGAGGGCAATGAGGGGATAAGGACACATATGTAATATCAATCAATAAAGAAAATTTTAAAAAGCACACTTCGGGCAACAAACCACAGTCCCACTCTAGAGCCTGCATGTCACTAGCCCAAGACACTGCTTAGGAGCTGAGGCAGAGCTGAGTTGATTCTCTCATTGTTATTCTGTAGGTTCTAACATTCACCAGTCGTCAACCCGTTGTCCATCATTTGTCCAGTTTGAAGTGTTGCTTGCCTGTGTCCCAGAATTTTCATATTTCTGATTATCAATTGGAGATAATCTTCTACTAACAGCCCAGGATACTCATAAACACTATTTTGTTGTCCTTTCTGTCCCCAGATTGAAGAGTAGAAGACTTGTAGTCCTTGATGGGTGATGGTGGAGAGGGCGTGGACACTCTGTAGGGTGATGCTGGTGATACCAGTTTGGTCTAAAGAAAGCAGGATTACTTGGAATCATTGTGATTGATTGAGCCAGGATGGCAGCGGAATGCATTCCTCTGTTACAGAGTGTTAGAAGTGTTTGGAGTGTTAAGCAGAGAATACTAGAGCTGGGAGAGAGCTTGGAGAACTTCTATTACCAGTATTCCACTTAGCAAGGAGGCCCGGAAAGGGTACCTGACTTGTTCAAGGTCAGATAGCTGGTTAATGGCTCAGGCTGAACCATAAATAAAATGTCCTGAGTGAGTTTAGTTGTTTCTACTGCACAGCACAGGCAAATCTGGCTTGGGAGCTCATTCTTTGGAGGTAGATTTCTCTCTGATACTCCTTCAGGTCATGCTAAGTTGAATGGAGGGTCCATCTCCTAAGTTCTTAGAAGAGCAAATTCAACAACAGCTCACAGTGATTCCAAAATTTTGTTTTGGATTAAGTTAGTTTATTGCCATAAGATACAGTAAAGATGTTTTTTTAATAGTTGGTAGAGCATAACTGCTTGTAGACAATTTCCCTTTCACAGAGACTCTGTGGTCTGCTCATATTCGCACACAGTGGCAAATGCATTTAACTTTGTTGAAGAAAGTCCAAGTTTCTTTTTTCATGATAAATGAGGAACGGATGTTTCTTGTGCCTGCGTTCTTCTGCTCATTCTTCCATGAATATGTCACTAGATTGTTTACAGGTGGAGAATGAGGATGTCATCCTATTGCTCGCATTTCTCTAATCATCACTTAGTAATTGACACTCCCCACATCCATTTATCTTTGGACATTGCAGTGGTTCCATGCTACCCACCATTATTACTCTGACAAAACCTGTCAGGTTGCACTAGATTCTCCATTTGCTCTCCATGGGCTTCTGTTCTCTTTACAGTATTTTATGTCTTTAGGAACTTTCTAAAGGTAAACACTAGTTTTTAGCACCACTTTATGTACGTCACTGTATCCAAATTTCTTTTGTGTGACAGATAAAAAATGTTAAAGACTTCTCTTAGGGATTGATGAAACCTTCAAATAAAATCTTTGTGTCTGGGACACAGGGATAGCCAGGTACTAAATAAATAAAGAAGTGCTTCTCATAAATATTGATTTCCAATGAACATTTTATACTCAATTTTTAACATTTCACACATTGTTTCTGTTCAACCAATTTCAGGACTTCATGAAAAAGTTGAGTGGTCGGCTGGGTAATAGGATAACACAAGGGGAGCCTTTTTTCCAAAGCTGGCATGTGAATAAAGTACCTGCAATCATAAAAAGAAACAAAATAGAGGGCTTTAAAAACAAGAATTTTCACACTGGTCACATCAGAATGTACACATTCACTGGTCTAGGGTTATTGGGTGTGGGAGTATCGATCATGAGACTCAGCCAGCATCCTTTACCCTCCAACCTCCCCCCTTTGTGACCCCGAAGATCTCTGATATGTGTGCCTTTCAGCTCATTGAGCACTTTACTTCTGCCAAGGAGCTGAACTTCATTAATAATGTACCAGACACCGAAGCCAGGACTGCCCTCACCACAGTGTGAACTGAGGCCCTGCTTCTTGTTTTCTCAGCCAATATTCAGTGGGGAGTTGAAATGGAAGCCAAAGCTGTGGTGACCACTAAGGCTAAGTTAAAGAGAGGAGAGTAGGAGTCCTCCCCAGGGCCTCAGTAAAAGTATAGGGCCAGGGAATAGACAACAGGAACAAAACTTTTAGCCATTTCCTGGGATGGCTTAAAGAATTGGTTCTTAATCCTGGATGAACAGTAGAGTTATCTAGAGGGTGTTTTTGTTCGTTTCACTTGTTTTTGAATGTCTATGCCCGGACCCCACATCAATAGTTGAGCTCCGGCCAACTATTGTCATGGAAAATTATGACACTGTTGTTTGCCAGTACTTCTGATTTTCAAAAGAAATTTTTAAAAATTGGGTTATGTAATATATGCCACAACACGGATGAATCTTAAAAACATTATGCTAAGTGAAAGAAACCAGGTACAAAAATTTATATATTGAAAGAGACCATTGATATGCAATGTCCAGAATAGGCAAATCCTACTTTGAGACAGGAAATACATTTGTGGCTGTCAGGTTCTGTGGGAGGGGATAATAGGATATGACTGCTTCATGGATACTAGGTTTCTTTGGGGATGATGAAAATGTTCTGCAATTAGATAGTGATGATGGTTGCACAACATTGCAAAATGTATTAAAAGCCACTAAATTGCACACTTAAAAATGGTGAATTTCAAGATATATGAATTTTACCTAAAAAAAAAAAAAGTGAGGAAAAAATTGGGTTGAGTGGACCAACTCAGAGCAGGCCAAACAAAACCCTTTTATGGAGCCAGAGTGGAACCTATATTGTAAAACCACATTGAGAAGGAAAAAAAACAGGAACCACAGATGGGGCTAAATTTTCTTGAAAGCCAATCTAAGGCTGCAGTGTATACCTCCACATCTTTTATGTCTCTGCAAACTGGTGGCAAAGCTGTGCCTACTGCACCCTTTTCATCTTAAGTCTGACACGGCCTGGTATTTTTCCTTGATAGGTGCTGATGCAGGGCTGTACAGCTTTGCCAGCCTATAAATAGAAGTAGGAACCCCTGAGGTGCAGAACAAGCTGGCTGATGAAACCAATGCTTGCTACTACTGCTCTTTCCTACTGCTTTGTTACTGAGAGTAAGAGGGGTAAGTGAAACAAAAAGCAAACAAACAAACAAATACACACACAAACACACACACACACACACACACACACACACAAAAACCAACTACTAATTGTTTCTTCTTTATCCATTCCCTTCCAATGATTCAGTTGAATTCACAATCCATAATTTTTCATCCCCTTCAGCAAGGTTTGTTACTCTTAATTCTCACAGCCTGTTACAATCATTACAACTTCCTTGAGATGCTAGCTGCAGTAAAGACAATGAATAAGAAACAGAAAGTTGGATGTTTCACTAGTCTTTTCTGACCTGGGACTATATTTCAGGTGGCAATGATTCTTAGAGGTCCCTCAAATCCTGCCTTACGACCGATCAAAATGAAATATAAAAAACAAAAATAGGATTAGTTGGCCGTGTGGCAGTTTTGCGTGAAGATTAGAAACGAATGGATTTTAACTGCAGATTATTGTAGAATCAGACTTCTTACCTGAATTCTTCTCTGTAGTTATCCCTAATATACTCAGCTAAAGTCTTGCTGTACTGCAGGCAGCTCTTGAGGACATAAAACTGCTGGTACAGCAGAACTGCTTGGCTGGGACTTAACAGTTGAAATGAAGCCGAGAGCCCCTTCACCACCTGTTCCACAATACTGGCCACAAAAGTAACCTAGACAAGGAAAATGTGGTTACACGTAGGCGGCATGCCACCCAGAGAGCACCCATTTCAGCTGGAGCCTCAACTAGAAATCTAGGCTGAAGCCCACACCACCCTTATGCCAATGCCCTTGCACTATTTCTCACTGAAATGGTACTCAGAGCATAAGACTATAGACCAGTTGGGTTTACCAGTTGCCTTCCTACAGGCAGAATCAGAACGAGTGCTGACTGTCAAGGACATTTGGCTCCAACGTGGAGAGAGAGCACCGGAAGCAGAGGGTAAACAGAAGGGGAACTTGGAAAGGTCTGTGGCCTCCTGCAGTAGGGATGATGGTTTCTATTTTACTGTTAAAAGTAAGTGGCTGTGACTTACTTTTAACAGTAAAAGAAGGTTCTACAAGGCAATGGTTCTCAAAATTTAGTATGCATAAAAAAATCACCCAGGCAACTCACTAAACAAGCAGAATCCTGGGCTTCACCTCCAGATATTTATCATAAACAATTCTGATGGATTTGTTCCCTGGACCACACATTGAGAAACACTAAGTGAAAATGCAAAGAAAACGGGGCTTGGGCTTGACACAAGCAAGTGATGTTGATGTCACTGTTAGCTGGGGTTTTCATCAAACCTCACTATGTTATTATTTCTTAGGAGGGAATTACAGTGGGAAAAGTAGCAATAGTGTGATTTTATTGGATTTCTGCTTCTCACACACACAAAAAGCAAAGCTGTCATTCACAAAAGAACCAAATGTTTAAAAAATAAGAACAGTGGGTTCTACAAGTGTTGTTATAATTTTTGGGGGGGTTGGGTTGCATTTTCAAACTACTAACCACAAATGTAGGCTACTATAAAAAACAGAAAAAAAATGATGGTGCCCTTTCAAGCTCCAACCTGCAAGTCACTCTGCACGCCCATTAGTAGTATCAATAAATGTGTCACCTTTTCTGCTGATGTTGCTGCTGGCCCTTTCTAAGTGAGTTTTCCAGATCCATTTGCACATATCTACTAAATATTGTGTCAGGCAAACACAGATTGAGGTTAGAGAGTCAGGAGCAGTGGGACAAAGCAATGCCCATTTGGGGATTAAATTTTTAACTTCTTCAGCAGCTTGCTTTAGCCAAGTGAGAGAATCAGTCAGAACTGACTGACTGTGCTGGTGTACTCAATGATCCCTACAGTTTTCTTGCTTGTAAATTTTCCTCACATGATCTATTTCTGCCTGTACTCTTTAGAACTGGGTTAATATGGAGGCTTTCAACAGTGTTCATAGTTTTTGTTTGTTTTTGTTTGTTTGTTTGTTTTTTGTTGTTTTGTTGTTTTTTTTGCTATTCTTTATTCTGACATGTTTTATGGTCACGGACTGGCCTCATACTCAACTCAATTCCTTTGGTGAACGAACCAACCCTAGCAGTTGATAAAGAAAGCTTTCCTGTTGAGTGGAGTCCTTAGGACTCCAAATTTCACACTTCGAGTCAGATGATAGAGTTTGCAGTCACAGCACAGAAAAAGTGTCTTGCATCTTGCACATATGAGCTGCTGTTGCTGTGAATGACTATAACTCTGACACTCTTCAATGTGGCCCTGAGACTGGTTAGGGTCTGGTGCTGCTAAAGGAGCCAAGGGATGGGCTCAATCCCTCTATAAGGCAATTGGCTGTACTACTGACAAATGTAGCCTCCTCTGGCTCCAGACAGACTTTTGTCACAGGGATCTGGCATGAGAATCTAGATTCCCTGGGACAGACTTAACATCACTCTAGAACAACAACAGTTCAAAGCAGGAGCCTACTGATGGTCAGTGGAGGCATGTTTGTATACAGAAAGAGAACATATTACCTCATGTCAAATCCTCCTTTAGCAATGAAAATTTAGTTTGTTCTTTTACCTTTTGAAGAGATTTCCAATTAAATGCCTATCCATATTCTGATTGAATGTATACATGCATGACTAAAGGGAAAGCTAAGTTTGGAGAGATGAGAAGAGATTAAGAAATAAAGCCTTTATTTGAATTAATTAAATATATCACTCGAGGATATGGTTTTATTGATTTTTTTTTTCAGAGAGAGAAAGAAAATCATCAATGTGAGAGGGAAACATCGATTTGTTGCCTTCCCTATGTGCCAAGCCAGGTACTGAACCCACAACCTAGGTATGTGCCCTAATGGGGAATCAAACCCGTCACCTATTGGTGTATAGAAGACACTCCAATCAACTGAGCCACCTGGCCAGAGCCAGCAGACATTTTATTGATCGCCTATTACATGCCTAGCTTAACTCTTATCCTCATGGCACTTGGAGTCTGCTGAGGGAGAATGACATATCCACCATGATAGCCTAGGTTATTCTGTGGTAACAAATCTCACAAAATACCAATGCTTTGCTTAAAACAACAAAGGCTTATTGCTTGCTCATACTTTGCATCCCTACTGGGTGGTAGGGGGTTCTGCTCATTGTAGTTACTAAGGACCATCTGGAATGCTGCCAGTCACCATGCCAGAAGGAAAAAGAATGCAGGGAAGCATGCACTGCTCCTAAACCTTCTGTCAAGAAGTGACACTTCTGTTCACATTCCATTGGCAAAAGCAGGAGCAGAGACCCACCTAACTTCAGGTGGAGTGGGAAGTACAATCCTGGAATCTTGTGTCTAGAAGCAGAGAGAGCCAGAATGTGTATAGGCACTAATGGCTACAATAGGAAAGAAACAAATAACACAAACAAATGTGAAATTCAACAGTGACAAGTCCTGTGGAGGAAGGGAAGAAGGACCTGGTGTGTCTACGTGTGCCTATAATGGGGGAATCTGACTTAAAGGTCAGAGATCATCCACCCACTCCACTCAGGAAGGGGTACTGAGGCCTGAAGGATAAGTAGGAGTTAACTAGGTGGGGAAGGGAGGGAAAAGCATTTCAGACAGAGGGATAGGAAAGGTCCTATGATGGAGGTGGCGATCTTAGGGTTGGGCAGTGAGTAAGAGACCCAAATAGCTGGGAGAGTGAGGGATTAGATGAGGCTGTAGGGCCATAACATGCACACCTTGTAAGACATAATAAGGAGTTCAGTCTTTATTCATTATGTCATTTTGAGAGATTTAAAGCAAGGGATGACATAATCAGATTTTTATTATGAATAGATCCCTCTGACTAATCTGATGGAAGGATAGGGACAGACTATGTGGATGTGATTGTAGTGTTAAGGAGAGAGTGACAGTATGGACTAGGCTGGTGACTGCTGAGACAGATGCCCAGATATTGCAGTCATATTCACCAACTCCTACTTATTATTTAGATAAATGTTCATTTTTTTCACTTAATTACACAGCCAGTATTTTCATATTGTTTTATACATATATCTTGGGATTTTTCATCAAATAAAGATCCCAATTAACATGTTGTTTCAGTACCTTAAACATTCAGGCCCCAAGTATAAAAACATTTTATTTTAATTAAGTAATAAAATCATCAGACATATATTTTCTCCCTGTTTTACAAACTTGACCACTTATAGAGAAAATGTGTGTTTTATTAATGAAGCACAAGAGCATCTGTTTAATAGCCTTGGGTGGTTTTGTTTTTACTTCTAGATACTTACTATGGGGGGATGACTTTGCAGCAAGGACATCATCCAGCTAATAGCAAATTTGGTTGACCCCAATCCAAGATTTCCCTAAAAGATGCATGGAAATAAACCCAGTTATATTCATGGGCCCAAGTTGTGCCTAAAGGAACACTCATTCTCAAGTATATTTTATCCATATTTAATTAAATATTTTAAGTCAGTATTAAAGAAAATAAGCTAGGTGAGTGCTTAAGAAAAATAGTAATACATCCAAGTTAGCCAATTTTGGAGAACATCTCTAATAAAAGCATTTTACAGGTATATTATTAATCATGTGATATATAATCATATACATAAATAGTTGTATGATATATACTAATCACAAAATATAATATATATAATAAAAATACATATATTATACCTGCTGAAAGACAAGAAGTATCTCATATAAAAGTGCTGTAGCTGAATCTGTATATTCCAGGATAAGCTTCTGTAACTAGAATTTTAAATAATAATTAATGCAATATCATTGGCAGAACCAGAAAGTGGTCATTTCTCCTAGATCCTTTTAGGTACTTATAAAAAATTTTCTTAATTTAAAATACAATTAGTGTGGCCAAATTCCCTGTTTCATTTGGTTTAGTCATTCTCAAAAGAGTGGCTCTCAAAAAGACAACACATTTAATAGTGGCTAAGAAAGTGGGTTAGGGAAAGAAGATACAATGGCCCACAGAAAACTAATGCCAAAAAAAAAAAAAATGCACACTTCCTTTGCAAAATCATTCAGATCAACAATCCTACTTCTTTT